ATCTCCACAAGTGAAAAAAGAAACGCCTATTAAAGCAAGATCACCAACACCGCCACCGCCGTTACGTACATCGACACCTACGCCGGTACCTACACGCGTGGACGAAATACCAAAAACCGCTACAACTACTGTTCCCACTACTACGCCTAGCGCTACACTGGCTACGGAACATTTGCGTATACCAACGGGTGCGGCTGCTTTTAGCGGCTTTTCGCACCTACACAACATGAGCAGTTTAATGGTGCCATCTGCAGCGGCGGCAGCAGCGGCTGCAGCACCATTTCTACCTTGGTCACCAATTTTGTTACCTCCATGGGGACATGCATTACTACCGGCTGCATTTTATCCGGCGGCATTACGCAATGCGTTACCAGGGTAAGCCCTAAGCTTTTCTAATAATAAAAAAAATATTTAATATAAGTTATTAAAACAATTATTAAATTATTTAAACAAAAATACAAATGATAACTGCAAATTTAATTAATGTGAATCAAGTGCAATGTTAACTTAGTAGTCTATGACGTTTCAATTTGATAGTTTAATTCCTAATACTGAAAATCTAAAATAACAAAAGAGAAATTAAAACTATTAACTACTAACAGATAAAAACAGATAATGGGTTCTTGATAATATAGAAACTTGAAAATTAATACTTTCAAACACTTTTAAAAAGTGCAGCGGAAGAATTTATGAAAAATATTTGTCCTTAAGTAAAAACTCTAAACGTAGTACAAAATTCTCTTAATAATCATTTAACAAACGATTTATTGAATTCATACTTGTATTTAAGTTACGTATACGTTCTTTGTAAGATATTACGTTCTATGTTAATGTATAAGGAATTAATTACTATGATCTTAACGTTAACTGAACTGAAAATATCATTAGCAAACTACTAACTAACTTAGTTGGCTATTACAGACGTACATCCTCAATGGCTGCCTCCAATAGCCTTCGCCAGCCAATCAGTAGCTTACTTCGCTTGTTTTCCCAAGTTGGAAAGATTCGCACTGATGGCACGGGTATTCAGGTTAACAATATCAATATTATCACATCACACTTTTGCGAAATATTGTGCCAGTACGGTTCAAATCTGCTGTTCAGATTATCGTTTCTAACACTAGATTCAAAAAATCAAACGAGTCTGAAATCTCGTTTGGTATTAAACGCCTCGGACAGGTTCTTCCTAATTCTAACGGAGCTGATGTTGTTTAATGGGATTTTACATCGCCGTATAGTTTGCTTACTTAAACTGTAATTAAATTTAGTTTAATTAAACAAATGGTTATTTTCTTTTAGGAAATTATTAATTTGCTGCTTGAGTTAAATATTATACATAGAATAGTGACTACTGTGTATATAAATAACTGTATTTCATAAAATTTTATATATATATATTTATATCATATATATATAACATATAAATAATATAAAAAAAAAATTACATACTATTGCAAAAAAACAAAAGAATTAAGTCTCCAATAGAATTTAATTCTTTTTATGCAAACATAATTTACAACTAGAGAATCATTTCGGATTTCAAAGCTTAGATACAAAAAGGGCTTTCACATCAAATAATAAATTATTTCTATATCATTAAATTTATATAAAAAACTATTATTTGTATACTAAAATAATTAATTCAAATAATGAATTAAAAAAGAGAAAATTATAATTAAAGGATAATCAAGAGATGTATTAAGTTGTTATTTTAATATAATATAACAATTCAGTCCTAAGCTTATGTATTATTTTCCTTACACAAATATTAGATACATACAACATACAAATAAAAAACTATAATATAAATAAAATAAAATATTTTTTTATCTATAATTTTACAAAAGGATACATACAATAAAAAGTGGTAAAAAAATAATTTTCTGTTGAGCTTCGATCCTTCGAGATCTTCCGTTACTCCTTTTTGGTAGCGCATTTTGTATAATTTTAATTTAACGATTGCTAAATTATCAATTTATCTGGATCTATTAACACAAATCACATATGTTTCAGCTGTAATATAGTCGTTGCCTATATGATCTCTGTGTGGTAGGAAAAATAATTTTCCGTTGAGGTTGGTGTCTAGCTTTATTTAGCGCCATCTTCTATAAGATGGATATTTCCGTGATTTACTTCTAGATCTTATAAATTGTACATTTATAACATATATCTTATGTTTTAGCTTTAATAGAGTCGTTGCTTATATGATCTATCTGTACTTGCAATTGCTGTAACCATAATAGTTATATTGCTAAATTTTTGCTCATTAATAGAATCCTTGAAGTAACGATTGTAGTATTGTCATATATCAAATATTTATAAGACGAGTATAAACTCAATGTGTTTCCAAATAATATCTTGAAATTCCAATTCTAATTATTCGCAATCACAACAAAATCTGTATTATATTGGAGAATTTTAAATAAATTTACAAAATATTACAAAAACATATAATTGTTTTGGTTTGTGACAAACTTTTATAGAACTTTATAATAAATCTTTTTACATATCTTCCAAGAATTCCTCTGTTCTGAAATTTTACTATTTTTTTAAATTCACCGCTTGAGTTCGATTAATTACCAATAACTTGAACAAAAAAATAATTTAAATTACATATAGTTTTCATATTATATCCATTCCATTAAACAATTACTAATGAAAACAAACAAAAATTCAAATAAAAAAAACCAATTTAATTAAAAAATAATTTTTAAAAAATCTATGAAAATGACGAAAGCAAAATTTTTTTTCTACAGAGTTTCGGAATCTGCATATACTTAATATTTTCTAGACACACACAATATATAACGTAATTAAACCCAATAAATTTTTTGTTTTAATAAAAATTTAAACTGCCGCTTATTATTACATAAACATCATAACATAGAAGATTAAAATGAATTCATTTTTTGCAATAAATTTAAAATAATTTGTAATTTAAAGAAAAATTTTTACTGAAGAAAACAGTAAACATATCAGACTTTTTCTGGTATGTGTATATTTGAAGGCCATCCGTATGTCAAATATATTTAAGAATATTTATAGATGTTTAAAGTTTACTATATCTTTATGGGGGCAAAGTATACCATCAGATAGATTATAGTCTGTAGGGTTAAATATATACCTTTATGTTGTGGCATTTCTTTGGTGACTAGCTTTCACCGTTTCAGGATATTATATTTAGTCAATACACCGAGGGCATGGGTCGATAACCATGTATGTGGTTATGGAACCATGACAGTGACGTAGCTCCAGCTAACAGATAATTGGACGTTTGGAGACACAAATAGACAAATTCAGATTTATTGAAATAAATTCTAAAATTAAAGTTAATCATTGAAAGTTAATTTATTTAACTTTTTTTTTTAATTTTCTAAAATTTACTATATCTGATGATTTATTATATTAAGCCCTATTATTAAGTATAAATAAAAATGAAGAATGATTCTTTAAGTTTCCTGATCTACTGTCATGTGTTTTCAAATGAAAATTTAGAAAAATATAAAAGATAAACAATTTTCCGCACCTTCCTAACTATAATAGAATAGTTTTGTTTTTCCTAAACAACAACTATAACAGTGCAAGAACCCTACTCAGGATCTATTGAAATTGGTGTAGGGCGCGTACAAGTGCAATACATTTGCAATATCACAATCAAATAAAATTTACTTAGGACTTAAAATTCAAATCTAACAAATAAAATTTATTTATACACATTTTACAAATCGCAAACAATTTAATCGTATTCACTGTACTTCAAAACAATATACGGATAATTGCAAACAAGTACACAAAAACGCGGATGAAGGAAATTTCCCAACGATACCGCAGGAAAAGCCCAACAAAATTTAACATATGTGCAACTAAGTTGCACATCTAGATACGCACGCGTACATTACTTCCACTTAACACTGCTCATAACCGAACCAAAACAAAGCGGTATGCAACAGCGACACACTGTCTGGACGATTGCGGAAGGGAATTCCCTTCCTGCACCTTAAGAAAATCTGGAGAATGACCTTTGTAGAGGTGCAACAAAACGATAGAAATACACAAAGCCAGAAAAATAGAAATAAATGTTCTTGTAAATGAAAATTTTTAAAATTTAATTACCTGTCCAGTGTGGGAATTTGTGAGACCAAAGACAACAGCAGAATTGCAGCAAATGCAGTATTGCACTACAGGAATACTGCAATATGTGCAAGTGAGATTTGGGAAAATTTGTTTTGGAAAATCCAGTATAACTTTTTAACATATATCAACATATCTCACTGGTAATAGACGAAGCGTACTAAATTAAAAACATGTGTTTTGGATTTTTAACGCTGTGGTTTGGGAATTTTTATTTTTTTGTACTCGATACTTGCTTAGGCAAGTACAGATTCAGGTATTAGTCAAGGCATTATTATCTAAATATACATTTAAGCGGATTTCTGTTAATTGTTGATGGTATTAAATTAAAATCAAATTTGGTTAACAGATTTAGTGCTACTTTTGCAATAGCATTGCGCCGGAAAAAATATATATAGTTTAAGAAGATTTCTAACCAGTTAGGATCGCAGGCTTCAACTTTGACACATTGCACTAAATTAAGTTGGTTCAAATGTGCGAATAATCCAGTGATTTACTTAAAATCAAAGTTAATTTTTTATGTAAGCATATGTCCGACACAATTTGTAAAACATACATATGATTTTAACATCTTTGAAAACACAAAATATATATGCACTTTGTGTATATATACAATGCACAGGAAATACTAGAGCTCAAACAATTAGTGTGAAATTGTGTTGAAAAGTCTGTAATAATTTTGAAAGTGCAACTCGTACATGACAGGTAGAAAACATATCCACAAGGTGCGATATACACTTGTACTTTGGAAATTAGATTATTGTACAAATTTCCTGTCAATTGTTAAGTGATTAATTTGTATAATAGAATGTTTATAAATATCATTTCCCTTTTTAACTTTAGTTTTATTTTTTTAATTGTCATTACAGCCTCTTTGATGCAAAACTACCGCCATCACAACGTTCATCCGGTTTCCACATATCCGATATATTAAATTTGGATGGTGCTGATTTAAAGCATGGAGTCGTGCCACATCCGACGGCAGCTACAACTGATATTAGTCATAATAGTAACAATAACAATAATAATAGCAGTAATAATAACAACAACAATAATAGTAATAGTAATACGGATGCCAATAGCAATCATTTAACGCCAGCAACCGTGTTAGCTGGAGCGTCTGCAACTATTTCACCCACAGATAATCACTCTACATTAAATACCAGTGCAACAATTGATGTTGGTAGTGCTCCATTGAATAGTGTCGATCACGTCAGTATACATGGACCACCATCCGCTAGTTCAGCCCAAGCGGCTGCCCACCTACTTGCTAGTCATAATGCTGCTGCTGCCGCTGCTGTGGCGGCTGGTCAATATTTACCAAAAAATTTTCCCAATTTCGGTGATGAAATGTCTTCATATCATCATATGGCACACACAATGCTAACACATCCCGCAGGCCGTGGAGCGTGGATTAAAGAAAATGATTTATATGGTAAGTACGATCACATTTTTTTTAAATGTTAAATTTAAATTTATTACAATAAAGTAATATATTAATTTGTAAATATGTGTATAATAAATTAATATTCTCCTTTCTTTCAATAAAATTTAATTTAACCGACCTTGAGCTTCGTTAAAAAGAATTTTATTGTAAAGATATACATATCTTATAGAATAATATTTAGATCTCATAGGTCGCAATTAACCATTCTCACAACAAAATAAAAAATAACTATTTTCTTGTAAAATAAAAATATATATTAGTTATTTATAAAAAATAAAGAGAAGTATGTGAAATCTGCCAAAGGTTCAAACAGCTACGAGACGATTCAAAACTTCAGTTTCGGGGCATTGAAAACAGTCAGTTTTCAATGACCCTATATCCTCATTCTCATTCCAGTTAAAGTCTATTACTTATTAATTGAAATTAATTTTTGATGAATAAACTATAACTGACACGGCAATATTGACCAAAATAACCAATAGTAAATCCTACATATTTATTTTTACTTTTTCTTCGCTTTTAGAACCACATATTTTCACCTTCAGTAAGAACTATATCTTAAAGTATGGTTATATAACATATAAATATAACTTAAGAGATAACAAAAAGATATATAAAATTAATTAAAATAAATTAAAATTTAAATATATTTTTTATATTTTTTATGTTTGGTAAATTTTTAAAGTTTAGCTTATTATCACAACATTAATAACAACTTTACAACTTTCCCAGTCTTTGATACCTAATTACGGTAAGATATTGTTCACTCCATTTTACAGTCTTCTATGTGATTGTCCTCTTCTTATGTTGTATCTTTTGACATTTTTACCTCTTGGTATCTTTACGTATTACCTATAGATCAGTTGTAATTGTTATAACTGACTCTGCAAACCTTAACATTCTCGTACAGAGCCAAAAGTCTTTCGCATGATTTTCCTAGTTTATGGAGTTATGTCCTTAAACTTGGGATTGTGTGCACTTTAAATAATTTTTTTATTATTTTTTCATTCATATGTTCATATTTTCCGCATATTAATATATTAATATATTAGTTTAAGTAGACTAGGTGTAATTTTAATTAAAAAAAAATTCATATGTTCATATGAAGTGAAAACATGAATTTGGTTTAAGCGGATAGTACTGTATTTTAAATAATAAAAATGAAGTAAATTTAACTATTCATACTTAGGATAAATAGGTTTTTTGTGATATTAGTTGATACCTCTAGAATTTCTAACCAAAACCACAATCTTTGTTTAAATGATTTGAACTATCTAAACTTAGGATAAATGGGTTTGTTGTGATATCAGTTGATGACTTTAGATCCTTAATCAAACTCTCTATCCATGTTGATTCTTTTTATTGACGTCACAAATTCTAATAAATTTTGTTGACAACATATTGGTTTTAAATCAAATTAACATCCAATAGATTGTATTCTAATATAGTTATTATTTTTTCGTTGCACACTGGACACGTATATAGACGGTTTCTTCTTTTCCTATCATCTTCTTTAGTAGTCATCTTATCTAATGGAAAGAAATCTTATCGAATTTTTACGTCTCATTTTAGTCATATGAGACTTGTGCTCAAAAAGTCATTCCTTAACTGCAACATTCTTACTACTTTACGAGTAGTAGTATTTTTAAAAACTTATAAAAATAAAGTTTTTGGTTACTTATACGTTTTATTTAAATAAAAAAAAAATTGTTTCTTCCCAATACTTAATCAACGATTATTAGTTAGTTGATTAAGTGAATTCTTAGAAGGAAACAGTAGCCAACGATATATAATCAGTAGTAGAAAATAAAACATAAAAACAATTTTTAATCGCATTTACTTAAATTGGAGATAAAACTTTATAACGTTCACTAAAACAATAAAAAAATCATAACTCAAACATCTGTCATAGCAGACTTTGAACTTGAAAAATTTGAATTTATTGATAATCGAACCGACTTGGCAATAACCCTTCCCACTTTACACTTTTTTATACATAATATCTTTCCTTTTTCACATAAAGTAAATTACGAAGTTCGTTTTTAATAAAAAAATATTAAGATATAAGGCAAATAAAGTGCTTTGCCATAACAACGTTTACTAATAAATTAATTACTTAATAAAACAAGGCATAAAGCAATTTCAGCTGCAAATTTTCCCAAAACACTAAGAAGTGCGTGCCAAGTCATGAACTCAAATTCAGACTACAAATTTCCTCGACTTTCCTACTCTGCAAACAAAACAGAATAAAATTTCTTTTTGCCGTAATCCTTAAGTGTGAAACATATCGAAGAATGAAATTAGTCAAGATTATGTTTAGTCAAAAAAACAAAAAAACAAAAAATATCTATAATAACAGCAGTAAATAAAAAAGTAAAAATTTTTTTATTAGAGGGTTGCCACGATTGCATGTGTGAATAGTGGTAACGCTTGAAGTCGCAGAAGAGGAAGTCCTTACAGCGTTTAACCATATAAAAATACGTTACAAAAGTGCGCATATCTGCTCAAACGCTGTAAAAACATCTGCTTTATTAAGATCGCAATAAATCGATATAGTGTTAGGTTAAAATAACTTTTTAACTTACAAATTAATGACAACTAGCATACGCGTACTGAAACACCAGTAGAGGGTAACACTCCAGATCACAAAAAAAAAAGTTGGATTCTAAAGTACACAGTAAAGTGCCAAGCTTGTTAGTAATAGCGACGGCGTTTGTGGAAAGCCCAAGTAAACAAAAGACTAATATTGTAATATAAAAAAAAATCGAAATACTGTACTAATAATATTAAAGTCCACTGTTACTCAGCTCTACTGATACTCTCTCCCCCTTTCCATTTTACCATGTGCAAACAAATTTTTATACACAACCACGAATCATCATAGTACACACACCCGGTGACCTAGCAAAATTTTTTTCGTTATATGTGAATCTATCTATATACTATACAATAATATGTGCACATACAAAATAAACGATTTAACAGGAGAATAAGAACAATACCCCTACAAATATGTACGCACAGTAATTTATTAAAAACAATTGGATTATAAGTAAACCTCATATGCTTGTAGATGTGGTTACAATCTCACTCTCAAATTTGAAATAAAATTTAACTCAAAAAACAAATCATACAGAAATTATATTAATATCACAAACATTAGATAGGGTTGTTAGCGTGTTCCTATTCTGTATTCTGCTTCCTATTCCAATACCCATCTTCCTTACTCTTCACTGTCGAGAAATGTTGACTTATATGCACAGCATAAATTAATAACGATAATTAAACTTATTTTTCAGTTCCTATTTTGCAGTTCCTCTTCACTCTTGTATCTCCTAAAACTACCTGGGTTCTATATTTTGTATTGAAAAACAAAAATTCATTCATAGTTTCACAAAATAGCAAAATCCTTTTTGAATAACTCTGCAGGCGTACTTTGACTTCAGTTTAACAAAGCGAACCCCCTATTACTTTCAAAAAAGAAATAAAAATGCATTGTATATTAGAATGACAATCCTATTAAAAAGTATCTTTTGTTCCAAAGAACGACCTTCATGCGAGTAATTTTTTCTTCTATTATAGTTTCCGAACATTTTTCCTTAAATTAGTTTATTATAGAAGTTGGTTTGTCACTACATATAATATACTGCTATATACAGACAATTATTTGTAAAGCTATCAAAATAAAAACCTCAAATAGAGGTGTGATCTAATATGCCATCCTTCCGGTTTCTTCTTTTTTGAATAACAAGGCATATATATATATAAAAATTTATGTTAGCAATTTATTTCCGCCCATTTTATAATAGATGAATTGATAACTGCAGTACTGGCTTTTTTGTACGAATAGTATGTATCATTATAAAATTATATTTCTATACATATATAAATACACTTATTGTAATGTTATAGAATTTATCAATAGTTCTAACCCGACAGAACCTAAACAAAACCAGAATTTTTTACTGATATACTAAAAACCATGACTTCTCTAATAAATTACGAATTATATCCATTAATTACTCCTTAAATTTAAATATTTATCGTCTAGTTTTTAATTAATTTAACTCAATAATGTTTCGTGTACTTAATTGACTTATTTATTTTACTTCTTTTAGGCATACAACAACCTGCAAGTCCTGATAGTACGTCGCCAGTTACTTCCGAAGTTTCGTACACTTACATTGGTTCAAATTGTCAAACATCACCAGCCTTATCTGCTGATTATAAAACCTATAGCCGTTCAGCTGATAGCGATGCATTATCCGTCGGCGATGCAACAATGCACATGCATCCTCACACTGTGACGCATCAAATGCACAAGAGCAGTACCGGCGGTAATAACAGTTGTACAGATAACGCCAGTGGTAGTTCCTCAAATCCTCATGATGATAGTCTTATTGAAGATGGTATCGAAGAAGATATATTAGACGATGAAAACGATGGAGATGGCAGTGGCAATGGGTCTGGCAATTGTGGTGAGACTATGCCTAATAAAAAACGTAAACGTCGAGTACTATTTACTAAAGCGCAAACATATGAACTGGAACGACGTTTTCGGCAACAGCGTTACCTTTCAGCTCCAGAACGAGAACATTTAGCCAGTATAATTCGTCTAACACCTACACAGGTTAAGATTTGGTTCCAGAATCATCGTTACAAGACAAAGCGCGCACAAAATGAAAAAGGCGTTTATGATCATCCCGCCATGCATGGTCATCCGCATCATCCATCTGCATTGCCATCGCCGCGCCGCGTTGCCGTTCCTGTTCTAGTGCGAAACGGTAAACCATGTCTAAGTGATGGGACAAAACTACCACAGGACTGTGTTACAGCTTCCATGCAAAATGCCGCAGCACATCACTTAGTCTTGAATGGTGCATATCAACATGCGGCAGCTGCTGCGGCGGCTGGATTGCACGCACATCCGCATCAGCGTGGTTGGTGGGCCTAATGTTGCTGCAACAATATTTCCTAAAGCCTTAAGGCGTGTGTTATAAATAACAGAGCCAGAGCCGACACTTTCGGCTTAAACAAACAAAAATGCTGCTGGTTGGTCATTTTTAAAGTTACTCACTGTAGTGTTTATAAAGCCAAATACATGAAAAATGGTTAAAGTATTTAAAATTTTGAGTAAAAAAGTATTTATGTGCAAAAATGGTTAAGTCGTGCGACTTTTGATATAAAAGCGCTGTTCCAAAGCGACTCGAATATTGGACAATAATTAAAAAAAAAAATTTATATCGGTGCAATATTTAAAATGTATTTAAATAATAAATAAAAATTTATTCTAAAATATTTTATTTAATTAATAACTAAAAATTAAAAATTTTTAGCTGTTAGCAATAATGAAACTGGAGCACCATTGAATTGTACATAGAGAAATGCATTTGTCTAATAAAGTATATAAAACATTCATTAAAAACTATTATTAAAATTAAATAAATTATTTGTAAATTATTTGTAATTATTTGTATTTGTTTTGTATTTTTTTTTTAATTTGTATATAATAACTACTCAAATTTTAATATATTAAAACAGATATAAATGAAATTTATTATAAATAAAATTAAATTGTATATTATTTCTATTAAAATTGCGTGAAAGGATTTTATTTTTATTTTATAAAATAGAAAATTAGTCGTAAGTTTTCATTTACATAATAAAAGTTTTAAATATTTAGAGCATATATTCAATTTTGAATTTATAGTTGTTAGCACGGTTTTATTATGTATACAAAATATATATCATACTTGTGTAAAATTAATCAATTTACAACTTTTAGTAAATAAAAAATTTTGAAAATTAAAAAACTAAAAAATTTCAATTTCTTGACTATTTTTATTTAATGATTTATTGTCCTCTAATTATTATTATTATTAAATAATAGGCTATGAATGCACCCCCAACCCAACTAAAACAATTCTAAACTATTTATAAATCTCGTGATTGCTGATGACTTCATTTTAATTATTGGATTTTGGACTAATAGTTATTATACTACATGTATTGATAAATACTCGGCCTAAGTAATAAAAACGCATTTTTCTTAGAAAATTATAATTTATGCTTTAGCTTTACACACCGAATCCAACTATCTTACAACATTTGGATACCGTTTAAAAAGTACGATTTATCAAGTCCTACAAAAATATACCTTAGTTTCCCATTCTACTTTATCATTTCATGCAAATCTCATTTCCTGGTGCCATCTTTTCAAGTTTGGAGACAAGTAATAATCACTGGGAGCCAAAATACCGTGGGTGAGACAGGAATTCGTACCGCAAAAACTAAATTTTTTCTTGTATGGTCGTTTTTTTTTGACTCTCGTTTAATTGATCCAATAATATGCAAAAGCAGTCTGGTGTTATTGTTTTTACTTTTTTCAAATAGTCTATGTAATTATTCCAATTGAGCCAAAACATTTCCCGCCGCTTGTTAAGTTCGTGATCGTTTGGGAGTTCTACATCCGCGCTTTACACATTCTCTGGTTTGTTGTTTTCACTCAGGTGTGAAATAATAGATCAGTTCTCACTAGACGCTCACAGTCAGTTAGATTGTGCTATCGTTTTTTGTCTATTGTGAGCAAACGCAGCATTCATCTTGCCAAAAGTGTTTTCATACCCAAACATTCATGAAAAATATTCGATAAATATTTATATATGTTTGTCATCTATGCTATATGGTATCATCTCTGCTATTTTAAATCATTCAACACAATATCGTGAATTTTTTTTTTGGCGACCTGGATCAAAAACACTCGTACGACACGTTTAAATTCAGTTTACCAATATTTTATTGTTTTTAACGATGGTGCAATGTTCCCGTTAACAAAACGGTAATTTTTAATTTGATTGAGTATAAATGAAAATTACAAAATATTTGACTTTAAAAATGATAACTTAAATAAACGATCCCCAATATTAAATAACTTAAATGAGTTTCTCGATATCACGTTTTACAATAATAGTATTTTGGTAGAAAGTTATGAAATTCTGAAAGTTTCTGAATGCAAAAATGTTCACATAAGTTACATCATTGAAACATATGTAATATTATTATACATAATATATAATAATATAAATACAAGAATAATTAAATACAAGAATTATTTCCAAGACCACTGATGAAGGGTATTTGGCAATACTCGAAACAGCTGTATGGTCAGCCAAAAATTCAATTAATTAAAATAATTTAAAAAATAAATTTTTGTTGTTGTTTCACTTCTGTTCGAAAACCTCTTTATATAATAATATAGAAATTAGAAATTTTAGATTTACCGTTAGTTTACCATTGCATTGCCTACAATATGTTTTTGAGACCGAAAAATCGCGAAAGACCACCAAAAACAAATACAACAGACCGTCGTATAATTGAAGGGATATATAATAAATAATCTAATAGTTCACAATTTTTTACAGTTAACAAAAAATGTTGTCAGATATTTTACCTTCCTGATGTTCTATTTCTAACCTCTGGTGTAAATATTTTAAGTGAATCATTCTAACCAATCTGTTTGTCATTCGGTAGCCCTTGCTTTCTGCAAACAATGCCAAGCTATCGGAACGAAACCAATTTCCGAGTTATTATTATTAATCTGAGTCCGAATAAATTTAGATAGAATATCCGAAATAATATGAGTTTTTAAAACATGTACGCAAATCTCCTTAAAAATAATGTTGTCTGACATTATCCGTTGCTCGTCAGATATTTATTTTTTCTTTATTGAACTATAAATAAATAAATAATTGAAGTTTGAAACATTATTTTACAGTGAAACAAACTTGACCTGAGATATGTAGCAAATTGCACTGAGAGTTTAAAAAGCACCTTCAATTATCTTCACGTAGTATATTTGTCAATTACTGGCATCTTAAAAATACTCTAGTATTGTAATTTTTTTATTGAATGTAGTATTGTAGACATTACATTATTGAAATAAAGAAAATTTGCAAATAACAATTTTCCGTCGGTATTATAATTTTATATTATTAGTATGATTTTTTTATAACTAAATATTTTTATATGAAACTTTGGAGTTATTATTACTACATTAAGGAATTTTGCACTACAGTCCATCTTAATGATTTGTAAATTCAATTTTAATACAAAATTTAATACGATTAATGTTAATAATCCCTATCAGATTTTTATTTAATCTGATAGAAAAATTTAACTATCACAATTCGTCAATTTAAAATCACTATAAATAATTAAATGAAAAGTATATTAATTATATACTCTAACATCGAGAAACTATCTTACTTTTATATGTGTACCGGCATATAAAGGCCATGGCAGTGAAATAGCAGACTCTCTAGCAAAGAAGGGGGCTGTGGAGTAACAAATAGCATCAGAAATGAATTTTGTGAACGGAAGAAACAAAATCTATTTGAACACTGGTCAAGAAGATTCATAACTCCTGTACACATCAAAGTTGAAGCTATCCTTAACTTTAGTAGAAACGATCTACTCTGAACTTCTTACAGGACACTGTAGACTCAATTACCACTTGAAGAATAAAGTCCTAAATTAACTAGATAAAAATAAAGCCCACAGCAAATACGAGATTTATAAATAGTCTAGAATTGTTTTCATTGGGCACAACAGATCTTTTACGTCGGGGTGTTTTTCTATCCTATTATTTAATAATAAAAATAAATTAATTACAACTTAAAATAAACAATACTTTTATACAATTACAATTAAAAGGTTATTCAAAATTAAAGTAAAAAATAAATAAATAAAAATTTTGTGACAGATAGTAGCTGTATATTTAAAGCGACTCCATAATAATAATTCGCTTCTTGTTTTATCCATTGCTCTAGAAAAACTCAAAGTATAGGTTCTGTCCCGAAAATAAAAAAATTAAATATTAAAAATACTACAATAAATCGACTGCAGTTTAACAAAACTTGTTATGAGTGTTTAGAATATTACGATATACTGTACTATTCTTGAAACTCAATTTATTTTTTCAATAACTTTTTTCCGTTGGGCTATTAAACAATAGTACAACTGTAGTACTATATAGTTTCATATTCGAGTATTTTTCAAGTACCTACGGCGCTAATAGCAAATAATAAGAGACAATTTCCGAAATAATGAAAATCAATCTCAAGTTGATTTTTCGAGTATCCCATAAAAAACAAGTGCTATTCTAATAAACAGCAAATTAAATTACTCATCATTTCAAACACTTCAATTTCAATACAGAATCAAATAAAAAAATACACGGGACCATAAATGCTTTAACTACTGAAGCACCATAAACTGTTAACGATTTCTATAGCTTTAAAAAAAAAATAAATAAATTTGTTTTTGTTTTATTATTTTATTACAAATACGTAGATAGCTAATATCTATAACAAAAAATTGAATTAAGGAAAAAAATTTGTACTAAATACGCTGAGCATGCATAATCGAGTAATACACACTCTAAAAGAGTCCACTTGAGTGGCTTTCCATTAAAACACGCTGTAACGACAAGTGTATCGGAACGATCGAAAGAACTAAAGAACGATCGAACAAACGAATGATCAAAGAAACGAACGAACGAACGAACGCATAAACAATTGAACTCGTTACGTATGAATTTTACTCAATGTTTAGACAACATCACCGGGTTTCAATATTAGAACAATTTTATCGCGAAAATACATCGCAGCTAAAGAAAAACTATGGTTTAATGTTATTGAAGGGAAGGTAAGCAAATCAATTGTGATAAGTTATATGCAACACATACGTATTTTACCATATATTTGATCAGTCAGCAAACTTATCGGATAAGAAAAATATAAATAATACAAAAACATATATAGCATTGTATTTTGTTAATGTGTGTATGGATGTAAGTCTATAGAGTTTTACTGTTACCAGTAACTACTTGTATTCGTTAGAATTTTACGTTTATTTAACGTTATCTTGTATTTTGATTCAAATGCAGATAATATAAAAAATATGTCGTATTTGCTTATCTTCTACACGCTATACACAAAGATTTCTTGGTATTTATTTTAAATAATACTGTATTAAAATCATTACATTAATTTATATAATACCTAACATATAATACCTATTAATATATACCTATAAAATATCTATATGTAAAAAGCAAATTTTTTTTAAAAACTATAGAGGAAGAATTCAAGTAAAATATATAGAGGAGCAACATAAAAAAAATTTAAAAACCTTTATGATTTCTTTAAGAATGAACACATATCCCCATTAGTGCAGTGTGTTCCAACATTTATCCCGATATGCTTCACCTAGCAAAACAGAATTTTGAAACTTTTTAACCTATTACTTTAACCCATAACTTTTTTCTTTTTTATTTTGACTCCTTTGATGTATTTAGGAAGCGATGAACATAAATAATCGTT